ACGGGGACCCCGTTCCCCGACGAACACTAGATACAATCAAATGAATATGTATGTATATCTTAATGAGAGAATGTGTTAGGAGGGAACGGGTTGAGTGTTTGACAGTTATTCGAATGAAGTGTTTTTTAATCGGTAAGTGACGAAGGAATGTGTTAGAACGTGTTATTGGATAGATTAAATCTGAGAATAAACAAAATTTATTGTTGACGATGCAAATGGTTGCATAGCGATGCACATTCCCTCAATACACGACACTTCCAGCTGTGAGCAAATTGAGTCCCCTTTCCAGTTGTGACACTCATCATGCGACTTGCTTTTCGCTCCTCTCAAGATCAAAGTAAAATGTACGAATGATAACCAGAAGCAATAATACAAAAATAATGAATGAACAGTTCTAACAATCACAGTAATAATATCATCTGCTAAAAGAAGCGCTGCAACGTGAACGTTGTCGTTTCACTATGAAGACGAACTGCTCGCGAACGAAAAGGAGTTAGTTTGTTCAAAGTATTATCATTTATCCGAGACGAATGACTCTTTACCCTATCTTAAACAATCTTTGATACCAAAATGATTCTTAAGTACAATTGAAATAACGTTTTTGCTTCATTGATAATAAAATGCTTGAATGAGGCAAACAGATGGCAAGATATCTAAGAAGAGCATTGTTATTAAACAAGATAATACTGAAATTACTGAAGATATTCAAATAATAATAATAATGCTAAATACAATAATAATAATAATAATAATAATAATAATAGTAATAATCAAATAATGAGAGTATCGTTGATCATAGTGATAACGTGCAGATTAATCGACATCAAGGGACATATTAGATCCTTTCTGCGAATCCATTGGCAAAGAAGTTTTTGAAGAGGCAGAATTAAATTTTCAAAAATAATAGTTGAAAAATTTTCAAACGCTTTTTTACCTTCAAAACATCCTATCAAAACTTTTCGGCAATTGTCATCAATATTTGTTTCGATTAGTTTATATGAACACAGAAGCTGGAAACGATCAATGAGTGACAATTAAGTGAATTAATTTCATGCAATTCTACTCTAATCATTATTACATATCAACTCGTTTGCGCATTGCACATTAACGCGCGAAGGATTTTTTACATGGAAACCGTGATTTTGGTTTTGTGGCTGTTGATCGTTTTAGTGTGATATTTTACTAATCTGAGTGGTACGTGGATAAGTCAGTGAAGCAAATTTAAATGCATTGATATAGTTTCATGTGTATTGCAACTAGCTCAAACTTCATTTCTTTCAGTGCTTGTTCTATAAGGTAGAGGGGAGGAGGGAGCGAAATACCTCTGCCCCCCATGTACACCACTGGATGTGTAATGAGAACGTAAATGAAGGTCATTTCAAAGATTGCAAAGGTAAATGTTGCGCGAGGGAGTAAAACTAAGATTCGTATACAGATTATACAGATTACTTTATCGACATTATGAATTCAGATGACATTGATCGCTGAAGATGAAAACTAATAACATTATAACTGATTATAGGGAATGTATAGTGGTGAACTGTCAAATGAAGGTAATCGAAGTGGGGAAGAAGTGTAATCAAAAATTTTAATTACTTGAATGGTATTGCAATTAACCGCGAAATAATTACTTGAGAAAAAAGTCCACACTAGACATGCATGCATAATTTCGTCGATGATGCCAACGGTATAAAACCACTTACTTTGGGAGTCATTTCACGACACTCATCCCCATCCTTTGTCTTCCAAGCTGATCTCTGTTTCAGTAAACAACCGAACAAGTGGATATATAATATGATGACGCATGACAAGTGGGGATTGCACGGGATCCCGGGATCCCGAGATTACAGTTCTGATCTCGATTCCGGGATTTAAGTTTTGAAAAATCCCAGGATTTCGGGATTTGATAAAACAAGTCAATTTGTGTGAATTTTGATAATATGCTCATCTTGAAGCAAGCCTTAATCATTCCCATCTAATTTATATGCACTTATCTTTGCTGTTTGCCCTCTATCATTGATGTTCAGCTAAGAAAAATAGACGCAATTTGGACGAATGACATGATCAACGACAGCTCGATGAACTTTTACGTAACATTTCATTGAATATTCAACTGATTATTCTCATCTTCATTGCTTTATATCACGCTCATCTGGATGCATTTCTATGTAATAGACTAACAGAAATCGGCAATGTTGTCTTTATGCTCCCAAAACTCAAAACGAGCAAAAAATTTTTCTATGTCCGAAAGAGAAGGCTCTCTCATAGCACTTTTCCGTCTGCTTTCATTACGAACATCGCGTGTATCGCTCACCATATCCGTCTGACGGCTGAGAGAGTTTTTGGAGTGGAGATGATGGAGAGACAGGGAGAACGACGTGCAGGAAGGCTTCGCGATCTAGCATCAGAAAAATAACTATATCTCCTGGTAGAGGCCGAATTTCTCTGCGAGTTTTTTATTTTTTATAAAACCGAGATTCTGCTCGATCGAACGATGCAAAAAGACTGCCATGTTACTGGGCAAACATGAGAAGACGGTAGGCTTGAATGTATCAAACATATATTTCGATAGTAATGTATAATATCTATTGATCTATAGTGATCAAATGCATATGACTGAGCACCTCGGCGCTGCTTGAGATAGCTTTAATAAAATAGCTATAGCTCCTCAACTAAGCAGAATCGCCCGACAAAGTATATACATATTTCTGAATCCAGATATTCTTCTCGATCGATTGGTGTGAAGAAATTAATATGTTACTGGTCAAAGCTGAGAGTTGGAGGAAATCTAGTAAGCGTAAGGAGAACGGCGAGGATGAATTGGAATCGATGGAATATTTGCAACGATTTGCTTACACTGCTAATATAGTTCTTCATCCAGTTTTACTGTCTTGATGATATGACACTGTATCTTAGTGTTCGTCGTGGGGTGAGTACTAGTGAGGGCATCCGAACGAAATTTCAGGTTGGTTGGAACCCGAGGGAATTGACGTTTTGAGATTCCCACATTCGGAATTCCGACCGAACTTCAAAATTCTTGGGTCGGAAGCCGAAGCTAGGAATTTCGACCAAAATTTGCGGATCTTCCTGTACGAACAATTGCCCCGGAAAAATCAGTGAAAATCCGAGAAAATCTCAAATTCTTCTTAAGAAGTTCGATTCCTTGAATAGAGTGGTTTTCTCGCAGACGTAAATGTTTTGTTATAGGTTAATGGCCAAAGTAGTGAATTCTTTTATATGTCCCTAAGCATTGCTCACTTCATTCTGTGGGTACTATTACGACCGTTATGATCGCACTTCGGTGACTTCAGCGATCTTAAAGAATCAGTTGATTGATGACTATAAGAGCGATTCAAATGGATAACCAAGCTCAAAATGTTCACATTTACATGTACCTCGTCTGAGATTAGGCACATGGAGCGTCAAACAAATGTGGCAAAATGGCTTGCACAAGATAAATGTCGTCAACAGTGCGAGTGATTTTCTGTTAATAAGGGTAAACGAAATAAATTTAAGAGGGATGGGGTTGTTTTTCAAATTTTCGAGCCGAATGTGTTTGTTTTTTATTTGCTAGCGGTCACTTTCTTGTTATCTTCTATTTTTCAAAGTTGCTTTTCAATTTCGGGAGTGTCCGGGGATTGAAAAACAGTTCTGGGATCAATTCCTGATCCCAGAACCGTTTTTCAGGGCGTCGAGACCATGCGTAAATCACCTGAATGAAGCTGTTCTGTGCTGCGAATAGCATTCGAAAACTGTGCCGTATGAGACAGACTCGTATGGCAGGGTTTTGGGGTTGCCGCTTTTCGAGACACCGGATTGTTCAGCATTTAATTATATTGTGACGTCTTCGGCATATTTTGAAACATGTTAACGGTTGTTTAGAGTTATTCTAATTATTTTGAGGCTTTAGTTCCTATGACTTTTATTTCAGGGTTAATAGCGTTAGTAGATGAGCAAACAGGGTTCTAAAGTTAAAGCCAATCTTCCAGCTGGTGGATTCGTCGCATTGGGACGTGATGGTCCATCCAGCTCTTTGGATAGCTCTTCTCGTCTTAGGGCTCACGTATCCGGCAAAAGAGACCTTCCACAGGTATTCAGTCCATTTTCTTTCAAACTGTATTCTCCGCCAAGCTCAAATCGGTCAAGTATGAATCTTTTGAAGTGATCAGGAACTGCTCAAGATGAAAGTTATGCAAATAAACATTCTAAATTAAAACGTTTATGGCTGAAAGTAATATTGCTGCTATTAAGAGTGGCGGAGGTGTTCTAAAGAAGCCGCGTCTTGATATACTTTCGAAGGGTTCGTCCACTGCTTCGTCAACCATCCAGCTGAAGCGATTCGAACATGACGAAACAAAATGGCGTCAGTTTTGTTCTGAGGTAATTTGCTGTTTGATTCTTGTCTCCTTTGTTGGGTTATATGAGTATGAGATAATGTTCATATTGAAAGGTGGGGTGGTAATAGGGACTGTGGAACGAAACCCTGGGCAGGACCAAGAATTGCCTGGCCGGGCTAGGAGCTGGCTGTTTTTGATGCTCCCGGAGACTGACAATTCCACGCCATTATATATATATATA